TGTCCTGGACACAGTTAGGTTAGCTTTACGACATTGCCACATTCACCAGGGAGGCAAGAATTAGTAGCCCCATCTGCTTTGAGAGTGTACAGAATTTCTGCTTCTACTTTCTAGTTCTCCCACCTACAACCTCAATAGCACTCAATATGTCTGATTAAGGTTTCTAAGGCATCAATGAGCATTGTCAAGATTGACCATCTTAGGTGACAATCAATTCAGATTCTTCCCAGGAGAGCTTAAGAGCTTAAGTAACTGGTACCTTGGAATCTCCATTAAATGTTTGTGGAATGCAATCAGTAGCAGATCCCTGGGAAGGTGGAAGCCTGGAGCACTTGAAGTCTTAAATGAGCAGGGTGGTGTCATCAGGGAAGAGGTACCAAGCTTTCCCTCTGCACTGGATTGCACTTGTACCAACCTCTGACCTTGGCCAAGATGTTTCATGCCTGTGGGTGCAATGCTTTTTCTTTTTTCCTGCCTCTATCACTATTTTTATTTCCTTTTTTAAAAAATACTTACTATATTGATATTATAAAGGTGATAAACAGAGGAATTACAATTACATGAGTTAGGTAATGGATACATTTCCTTTCATACAGTGTCTTCCTTACTTTTTCAAGGCATTAGTTAAGGGTACAAATGATGTCATTTCCTATTCCCCAAGATGTTCTTCTATGAACATCAGCAATATTCAATAAATCCTGTGTGGATGGGGCTGGGAAGGTGGCTCAGTGGTAGGGCGCTTGCCTTGCATGCATGAGGCCCTGGGTTTGATTCCTCAGCACCACATAAGCAAAAAGAAAAAAAGCCGGAAGTGGTGCTGTGGCTCAAGTGGTAGAGCGCTAGCCTTGAGCTGAAGAGCTGAGGGACAGCGCCCAGGCCCAGAGTTCAGGCCCCACGACCGGACCCAAAAATAAATAAATAAATACTATGTGGACATGTATTTAAAGATGTTCTCTTTCTCAACTGAACCCTCTGTCTTCAGCCTTCAGAGATTTTCTTCTACCATAGTTTCTTTGGATATGTTCATCAAGATTCACTTGAAGAGTCAAAGGCCTTGCCATATTCTCAAACTCCCTGCCTGCTTCTTCAGAAGACAAGGGGAGCTTTTGCTACCCATTGGTGGGTAACCAGAAACCTCCAACAGAAGTAAAAAGGGATGGGAGGGAGGGAGGAATAAGAAGTGACAGCTGTCACCTGAGGAGTTGGCTGAGGTGGGGAGGGGAGGGCTATGAGGCTGGGAAGGGGAGTCCAAGCTGCGATGGGGGTGGGTTCTGGTGGAGACCAGCCTTGCCACAGAATTAGCAGTATGTTCCTCCCCCTTACCTCTTAATGCCAATTAATCTCTAGGCACTGTCAATGAATTCTCCCTTTGAAATAAGCTTCATAAGTACATTCAGAATGAATAGGTGAGCTACTTCTCGTGAAATGTAGTGTGCAAGGAATTATCAAACACCCCAAAATGAAGCCACGGGGACCAAATGTAGATTAGCCCCAAATGTCACCAGGGTAAAGAAGTAGGGAGAAGCTAGGAAGGATGGTACCATTCCACCCTTTCCAGCAGGTTTCTACCCCAGCCCCTCTCCCTTCTTCCCTAAAAAAAGCTTCCTAAAGTGAAGGTGTCCCCCTGGTACCGCCTTCCCAGACACTGCTGTGGTTGGACCCTGCATTGCTCCAAACCTTCAGGAACGACTCCTTTTTGATCCTAAAGCATTTCCAATGCCATAACTTCCCTCCAATCTTCCTACCACCAAAGCTTGCTTCCCATTGCCTGATCTCTCTTCTGGCACTACCATACCTACCTCACTCCAGTCTTTTCATATATGAATCCCTTCTGAGCCATCCCCTTCAGGACTCAAAACCCCTTTCCTCCATCAGAGTAGAACATGGTACTTCAGCATGGTGGGTTCTGGGGTCCAACTGCGTGGGTCCAAAAAACAGCTCTTGACTACTTCATTTACTAGGAGTATGGGCTAGAGAAAGGGACTTAACTTCCCTGAAGTTTCTATTTCATCCTTTGCAAAATGTATGTAATAATGTGGTCCTTGGGGAAATGGAATGAGACAGTGTTTGTGTCTTGCACATAGGCAATGCTCATAGAGTGAGATTCTTAGGTCTGGGTGAACTCTGAGGAGCTGGGTCTGCAAATTTCCCCTGTACAGTGCTGCCACCCTAGGGTTTTGAATTGTGAATCTTTTAATTCTTCCTGGCTGCTTTGAAATAGCCCTGGCCGCTCTAAAACTAGATCAGATCTTAGACATACAGTGGTTCCAGTGGAAGGTGAGGCACAAAAGACAGTACATGACATAGTTGAATGAGGAAGGATGGAGGAGAGTAGTATTGGAGAAGGAGATGGAAATTATTGAACAATGGGGAATACATCCAAGGGGAAAACATGGCTTTGGTGATCTGAACAATGAAGAATTCAGGCAGGTGATGAGTGGCTTTCAAAATTAGATGAACACAAAGCTGGTTCACAACGGAAGTCCTAGCTACTCAGGAGGCTAAGATGTTAAGATCAAGGTTTGAAGCAAGCCTAGGCAGACAAATCTGAGAGACTCTTTTTATCTCCACTTAACCATCAAAAAGCTAAAGTGAAGAGCACTGTGACTCACCCCTGTAATCCTAGGTACTCAGGAGTCTGAGACCTGAGGATTGCAGTTTGAAGCCAGCCTGGGCAGGAAAGTCTATGAGATTCTTATCTCCAATTAGCCAACAAAAAGCCAGAAGTGGAACTCAAGTAATAAGAGTGCTAGCTTTGAGCACTAAAGCTCAGTGCTTAGGCTCTAAGTTTAAACCCCAGGACTGGTGTGTGTACACACATAAAGTTGGAAGTGGAAGTGTGGCTCAAATGGTAGAGTGCCAGCCTTGAGTGAAAAAGTCAAGTAAGAATGTAAAGTCCTGGGTTCAAGTCCCAATACTGGCATCAAAACAACAATCCCTAGAAGGACAATAAGGACAAGTATTTCAGGGACCTCAACTTCTTCAGCTCCCCGGATCTGTGTCTTGGGAGAAAGAAAAACAATGTGACTCTTGGGAAGAATCAGGGTTCATGTGGTTCTTGTTCAACTTTTAGTATACTGTGTCCTTTGGAAGGAGATATTACATAGACTGGCCACCTGGTCTCACCAAGTGACCAAACACTGTGGACTGTTCTCAGCCTTAGGCATAATGGAACATGTCTTCAGAATATTAGAGACAATGCAGGCCCTATGAAGCAAAGAATGAAGCCTGTAAATCAAGGTCTGAGTATGCATGGTTAGTGATCCTGGGTTTGGGGACAGTCCTCATCAGGAGAAGGCCCTTATGAAGGCTGTGGCAATCGTGGGGCCCTTCACTGCTGCTCCTGGTGAAGCAGGCCACACTCCTCCCAGTCTATAATATCAGATCCTATTGTCCAGAGTATAGCAGCCAGGACTGACCTAGATCATGATGTTCTGGTGGCTGGTTGTAGTTCCAAAGGGATAGATTCAAACAATAAATTCTGGCTTGTGAAGAGCACCTGGGGCTCACAAGGCTTTGTCAAAATGACCAGGGACAGAAACAACCACTATGGAATTGCCACCACAGCCAGCCCTCCCAAGGGGTGAGCTGATGGAGAGGATTTAAAAGTCAGCATGTCGGGAGGAATTTTGTCATTAAACTGACCAAACCTTTACTGTGTAAGACAAAGAGCTTGGACCCCTTGAGGATCCAAGTTGTGATTTGAATTCTGTGACATTTTTACAAGGGTAAAATGTTACCACTACTTTAACTCCTGTTATAAACAGCTTTATGATGTTGAAGACTTGTTGCTCAATTCTGTCTTGAATTTTCATTTTATAAAAAGATGTAGAAAGCTTTCTTTATGTTTTAAGAATAATTTTTAGTTCCATATATAGAAAAAGACAGTGCTCATAATGGCTATTATTATTATTATTATTCTGTGTTCTTTTGTTTTAAATCTCTAAATCCTATTGGGTGCTAGTCATCTGGCACTTAATTGTCTACTAATTGATGGTATCTTTTATTCACTATTTAAATTCTTACTGTTTAACTTTGCATGTGTGTGAGTGTATGTGTTAACTTCCCAATTAGATCTTAAGCTCCTCCAGGCCTGAACCAGATGCTTTCTTTATATTCTCAACATAGACTAGCTAGGTAAAACTAGGTGCTAATTAATGAGCACTTAATAAAATGAGTAATAAAATACCCACCATCTGCACAGTCCTGTTTCAACCAGGATCTACTTTAATGCTCAAAACAGTTCTTTAAGGTCTACAGTTAGGCCCATTTTACAGATGAGGAAAACAAGTTCCCAGAAAGGAATCTGCCAACATTCCAAAATTCAAACCTCTTTTATCTTTCAGAAATTCCAAGCCACGTGTTGGTGGCTTATTCCTGTACTCAGGAGGCTGAAATCTGAGGTTCATGGTTTGAAGCCAGCCTAGACAGGAAAGTCAGTGAGATTCTGATCTGTAATTAACTACTAAAAAGCCAGAAGTGGGGCTCTGGCTCAAGTGGTAGAGTGCTAGTCTTGAGGAAAGAAACAAAAGAGCCCAGGGACAGCTCCCAGGCCTTGAGTTTGAGACCCAGGACTGATGCGCATATGTGTGTATGTTTGCACACACCCACACCCACACACAATTCCTGCAATGCTGCTTCCTGTGCTCCAATGCCCAAGATGCATGTTCCTGGCTGAGCCAGTTCAGCAATTCTGTCATCTCTAACGTTCTTTCCATGTGCTCATGGAAAGGGATGCTGGAGATATAACATTAAATTTACAAAGCTGATTATGAAAGAGCAGGGGCATGCACACAGTCACAAGGAGTACCTGCCGCCTCCCAAACTGGCTGCTAGTGCATCTGTAGGACCACTTGTCCCCTCAGTGGGCAGGGCATTGTAGCTTTAACTTTCATTTTGCTCATTCAGTTTCTCCTACAAACATTTATTGTTTTCTTTTCTTTTCTTTTTAATAAATAGGAAGCAAAGAATACAAGTTTGGTTTGCTTGCTTTCTTACAGAGAGGATGGCATAGCCCTCCCAGTTGTCTTTTGCTGAAGAATGTTCCTGAATCAAGACAACCTCTTGCCTCTCTCCCTTGCCTCCTTCTCCAGGTAGGAAGAAAGCCATCCCTGGCACTTATGAGTCACAGGTTTGAAATGCAGGGGTGGGGTGGTGAGGGAGAAGTGATGGGTGTGAGGTGGGAATTTGGGGCTTCTTTTATCCCCTGCATCTCAAAGGCTGACAGGCTCTTGAGGGGTGGAAATGACTGGTAATTAGAGAACCTTCTCTGAGGCACACACTAAAGACACACTTCACAGTCTCTGTGACCTCTGCAGCCCGGTGAGGCTTTGTTATGTAGATGCTCTTAATTGGGTGAATCACTGCAAACAGCCAGGAAAGAGCACACTGGCTGTGCTTCTGAGAGTTTTCCTAACCAAGGACTCTAACTCAGGGAGGAATGTTAAGAAAGGGTAATACAAAGCAGGTGCATTTGGTCAAAGTACATCATATTCAAGTCTGTAATGATACCAGTGAGCCCCTTTTGTCAATTTATGCTGATATATATGGATCACACTCACTTTTTTTTTTGCATGTGTCGGTCCCTAGAGTTTGAACTCAGAGCTTAGGTGCTATCCCAGAGCTTTTTTGATCAAGGCTATTGCATGCTTCTGGCGGGGGTGACATTGAAAGGTAGTGGTCTGGTCTGATCTCAGCCTCCTGAGTAGCTAGGATAACAGCTGTGAGCTACCAGCATCTGGCTCTATTATTGTTGTTGTTATTATTATTATTTTGTCAGTCATGGGGCTTGAACTTTGGGCCTGGGTGCTGTCCCTCAACTCTTCAGATCAAGGCTAGTGCTCTACTACTTGAGCCACAGTTCCATTTCTGGGTTTTCTGGATGTTTTGAGATAAGAGTCTCACGGACTTTCCTGCCTGGGCTGGCTTTGAACCGTGATCCTCAGATCTCAGCCTCCCGGAGTACCTAGGATTACAAGCATGAGCCACCAGCACTTGGCTATTATTATTTTTTAAATAAAGGAATTTTGGGGTACTTGGTAGCAAAAGTTTCTGAGTAATTCCACTCTATCCATAGAAGTGGGAAATCAGCATAGTGAGCTTTAGTAAGGATTGTGGTAAACTATGGCTCTTTATCTCTGGTTCTTTCCCAACCTATTGATCTTCTATGCTGGATAAAGCTGGGAAGACTTTGGAATATAAACTAGGTTTCCCAGGGGCTGGGAAGGTGGCTCAGTGGTAGAGCACTTGCCTTGCATGCCTGAGGCCCTGGGTTCGATTCCTCAGCACCACATAAGCAAAAAGAAAAAAAGCCGGAAGTGGTGCTGTGGCTCAATGGTAGAGCCCTAGCCTTGAGCTGAAGAGCTGAGGGACAGCACCCACGCCCAGAGTTCAGAACCCACGACCAGACCAAAAAAAACAAAAAAACAACTAGGTTCCCCACATTCAAGAGCTGGCTAGCTTGTTGGGAAGTAAGGAACAGATATTAGTGTACATAGTGCCGCCAAGTAGAAGACAACAATGCTGGGCACATGGAGGCAGCATTAGCGTGGGGTTACAGACCCTGGAGCAGTCATTGGTAGCTGGGCCATTACGAAAACTTGTCCACTTGGAAAGCAGGACTTGGGAAGTGTTCTTTGGAGAGGAGGGAGTTCTAGGATATGGAGAAAACATGAACAAAGACACTGGATATAGAGTTTTGACCCTAGTACCCTGAGGCCCACTTAACTGTCAGAGAAGCAGAGTGTAGTGTGGGAATGACTCCGTGTTCTCCAATGTGCTGCTATTGCCCCTGGTGTCCCATCTGCTGCATCCCCTAAGGGAGATGACAAGGTGAGAGACTTAAATCTGTCCCAAGCAGATTATCACCCTACTTCTATTTTGGAGAATGGTGCCATCTTGGCTCCTCTTTCCTCTGCCCCCAAACAGGCTTTATGTCAAGGCAACTGGGCTTCCATGTCTTTGAAGTCAATCTTTTATATCTCCACTGCTGCTTCTTCCCCCAAGCCTCAGTATTTGCCATGGGGGGTCATAGGATGGGACATGCTGCTAGGGCCCAGAAGGACATTTCCTAGATCCTCCGTACATCTTCCCCACACAGCCTCGTCTTTCTCGGAAACACAAGTCCAGTCACTTTACACAGCTCTTACCGTCTGTCCCCTGCCTACTTCTTTTTGCTGTCTGTCTTGTTAAAGTTATCCCCAAGCCCATGTATAGTCCTGACTTGGCCTTAAGTAGCACTGGACAGAGTTGGCTACTCTTTTTTCCTTTTAGTTCCTAACATTTTACTCATAAAATGTCAAACTTATGAAAAATGGAAAGAATAAGACAATGAACACCCCACCCTTTACCCAGACTTACCAACTCTTAACAACTTTGATATATTGGCTCTCTGCCCCTCTTTTTTCTTTTTCTCTCATTTTTTTGTCTTTGAACTATTTTAAATCTGTACACATCTTTAGCTGTACATGTTACCCCTATTTTTTCCAGCTTGTATCTCCAAAGGCAAAGGATATTCTTTTTTTTTTTTCTCCTATCATCTCTTTCCAGTTACTAAGAGTCTATTTTGCATGAACACTGAACTTAATAAGACTTTTTCTGCATTGGTTGAATCAATTATATCATTTTTCTCACTTAATCTTTTTTACAAGCACATACTAATAGTACACTATGAGAGGTTTCATTATGATATTTCCATACATGCATTTATTATACTTCCATCATATTCATTACCTCCATTACTTTCTTATCTCCCTTCCCCCTCCTCTTTTAATCTTTCCAACAATTTTAAAATGAGTTTAATTATACCTCATACTTGCATATAATGTACTTCAATTCTTTTGAAAGCCCTTTATTCGCCTATTTTATTTGCTTAGTTTTGTAGTACTAGGAATTGAACCCAGGGCCTGTGCATACCAGCCAAAGGTTCTGTCCCTGAGCTGTATTTCTCTTATGAAATCACAATACAGTCAACACAACTAAAAACAGAACTATTAATTCAGTATTATCAATAATATCAAATAGTTCACATCTAAATGTTCCCAGTTGTCTCTATACAGTCCTTTAAGCTAATTTCTCTCCCATTTCCAGTAGCCAATAAAGGCTCATGTCTAGTCTTGGTTGTCTTGTTTTTTTAGCCCATTTTATCTAGGTCTTTCCAGACCTTTCCCTCATGATACTGACCTTTTGAGCAATCTAGCCAAGATGTCTTATAAAACATTCTACTTTCTGGATTTGTCTGTTTCTTCCCAAGTAGATTCTAGTTAAACATGTTCAGGCAAAAATAGTATGCAGAGGGGGTGATGGGAGGGTTACTTTCATTGAATTCCATCAGCCCATAGTGTCAATCAAGTTGTCTCTCCTTGCAGGTGCTAAGTGTAAGCTCATGATCTTTAATATATGGGTCATTGTGGAACACTCCAGATCCAAACTCTAGCATTACAAAATCAGAAAGACCTTAGGTCTTCAAAAGCTATGTACCTATCACCATATAAGATGATGCTAAATGAAATGAACTCCAAGATAGGGACACAAGAGGTTTTATCTTTGTTGCTATTGTTTTTAAATGTACTTATAATGTACTGTGTGTTTTTTATTGTTTCTTTTGTATGTTCTTCCCCTCTGGTATAACCCCTGTTGTCACTGTATTTGGTTCCAGTGCCCTGCATCTTGTATATACATTTTTCTAATTTGGGGAGGGGAAGGGAAATAACAATATGCTGAATAAGGATACAGGTTGACCCATTGTAACAATGAGATGTACAAGACACTATGTTGAAAATGAACTTTACAGCTTCAGGGTGGGGAGAGAAGTTGGGGAGGTGGGGAGGGAAGGGATGGTAGGGGAAAAACAAAGGAGGGGGTAAAATGCTTGATGGGAAATGTACTCATTACCTTACTCATGTAACTGTGACCCCTTTGTACAGTATCTTTACAATAAAAATATATATTAAAAAAGGAAGACCTTAGGTCTGCTATTTTGCATTTGAAGAAAGTTTAGTTAGAAGTTCATCGTGGGCATCCAACTAGTTAATGACAAGGCTAAGTATTGAACCCAGGACTCCTGGGCCAGGGTACTAGTGACTACAAGGCTGTCAGGCCCTTCATCTAGGCCTCAACCTCATACACTGATATTTTTCAGATACGGCCTTATTTTTAGCCCAGACAGCCTTGAACACAGTCTTCAGTCTTCCTACCTATGGTTTCCTATAGTTGGGATGACAGACATGTACCACAAAGCCCAACAAAACCTCTTGTAAAAAATCACATTAAGTAAAGTAAGCCAGACCCAAAGAAACATAGGCTTCATGGTTTCCCTCATTTGTAAAAATTAGTGTATGTCTAGGATAGTTCTAGCAGAGGATAGGACCATATAAAATGATGCTAATCAAAATGAATTCCAAGATATGGAAATAAGAGGTTTTTAAAAATGTACTGTGAAACTATTTCTTTTTTCTTTATTTTTTTCCCTTTGGTTTATCTCCTGTTGTCACTGTTTTTGATTTTGGTAACCTGTGTCTTGTATATACATTATATATACATATATATATACACACACACGCACACATATATATGTTTATCTGATTTGAGGAAGTGAAGGGGAATAACAAAATGGTGAGACAAAGGACAAAGAGTGAACCAATACAACAGCGATACTCACAGGACACTATGTTGGAAATGAACTTAACAACTTGGGAGGTAGGGAAGTCGACAAGGAGGGGAAGTGGGAGAAAACAAGGGAGGAGGTAACACTGTTCAACAAGTACTCATTATCTTACTTATGTAACTGTAACCCCTCTGTATGTCTCCTTGACAATAAAATTAAATTAAAAAAGAGACATAAAGAGAGGGAATACTAGAGACACTGAGAATTAGTAATAATAATAATTAGAATAGTAAATAATAATAAACCAGCATTTGGGAATAAATTCTAATGGTATTCAGTATACTTATTTTCTTTTTTGTGCTGGTATTGGGGCTTGAACTCAGGTGTTGTCCCTTATATTTTTTTTTTTTTTTTGCTCAAGGTAAGGACTCTACCACTTGGAGCTAAGAGTTTCATGGAATTTCCTCTCCAGGCTGGCTTTGAACTACAATTTTCAGATTTCAGTCTCCTAAGTATCTAGGGTTACAGGCATGCCTGTATCCCATGCCTGGCTTCAAATATACATAACAAAATCCAGTTTTGTGTTTTTTTTTGGGGGGTCCAGTCGTGGGGTCTGAACTCTGGGCTTGGGGACTGTCCCTCAGCTCTTCAGCTCAAGGCTAGCACTCTACCACTTGAGCCATAGCGCCACTTTCGGCTTTTTTTTTTTTTTTTTTCTGCTTATGTGCTGCTGAGGAATCAAACCCAGGGCCTCAAGCATGCAAGGCAAGCGCTCTACCACTGAGCCACCTTCCCAGCCCTCCAGTTTGTTTTGGATGGGAGCTATTGGAAGTAATTTGGAGCACAGATCATCTTGAGCCTCTCTCATAGATGCAAACACTTGGGAAGGGGCCCTGAAACCTCTTCTTTTCCTGCATTTCCTACCCTCCTTTAGGCTCAGAGGAATTAGCTACTGCAACAAAGAACATTTTATTTGCAGATACTTAGTTTTTTCTTTTTAATTGAAGTCCAAATCTGGTGGTCTGAGCTTAGGGCTGGGGAATGATTAATTTCAGCAGCTATCTTCACCTGTTCAGGAGCTGGACTTGAAAGAAATAAGGCCAGACTGAAGAGACACTTGGCCAAGAATAGGTAGGAATTTCAAAGAATCCTTAGAGAACCAGCCCTTTTCCTTGTCTCAGCTGATAAAGCACAGTGGAAGATTTAAGGAATCAGTTCCTGTTTGGCTGGTTCTGGCTGACCCTGTCATCAACTCTCTTGATTGGAAATAAACAGGATCTTCCTTTTTGTCCCCAGGAATGTGATGGAGGAAGGACTCTAAGGGAAAAGGTCTCTTTTGCCAAAGAATAACAACAAGAAGGATGACAGTTGGAGTACAATGCTGCCCTCTTCATGCAGGGTGATAAGGGTATTGACCTTTCTCTCTTGTTGACTGCTACAACTCTAGAGCCCAAAGACCTAGGATATCCAGCCCAGGTTCAACTTCCTGCTCAGTGAGCCGCATGACTGTGTTTGTACAACTTAGGCCACGCGCCTCCATGGGTTCAGAAATGAGGCCACAGTCACAGCACTTCTTGTCCATACAGGATTGCAAATGTCTGAGGGAAAGTTTGCTGTCTCTCTAGTACATATGCCTGGGCATTGGAACAGTAGAGTAAAATGGTACAGGATAGGGAAAGCTTGCAGCTCTTGTCCAGTTGGATGTGGAAATGGGGTGGGGGACACAGGAAGAATCAGGAACCCTCCTTGTCCTCAGTACTCCTTGGATGGGTTAGACTCATCTTGAATTTAAAGGGATTGTTTGCCCATCTTCCAGGCTGACCACCTCTATCTCATTGTTCCCTTGGACTTTTCCCCAAGAAAGGAGGGCCATATTACTCAAAGAATACTGCTTTTATTATTTCTATTTAATTTTCCTTTTTGTACAAGATGATGGAGGAAGTAGAAGGATAACTTGTCACTTCCTCTTTTTTCCTTCTGTTTTGCAGCTCAACCTCTACCAGTTGACAGGAGCAGACAGAAGCAAATCCAGTTTGTTTCAGCTCATATCCTCTCCCAACTTTATTCTGAAAACTTTTATGCCTGAGTTGGGAGTGTTTGTGTCCTCCCAAATTCATCTGTTAAAATTCCAGACTCTTGGGCTGGGAAGGTGGCTCAGTGGTAGAGTGTTTGCCTTGCATGCATGAAGCCCTGGGTTTGATCCCTCAGCACCACATAAGCAGAAAAGGCTGGAAGTAATGCTGTCTCAAGTGGTAGAGCTCTGGACTGAAGAGCTGAGGGACAGCGCCCAGGTGGAGTTCAGGCCCTATGGCTGAACTTTTTTGAGAGGTGATTAGGTCAGAGTAGTGGAGCCCTCATAAATGGGATTTGTGGACCACCTTGTACCTTCCTCCATGTGACGGCACATTGAGAAAGCAGCTGACTATCAATCAGAAAACGAACTCTTACCACCCAGAGAATCTGTTGTCATCTTGATCTTGGATGTCTCAACATCGTGAACTGTGAGAAATAAAATTTTGGTTACTTATAAACTACTAAGTTAATGGTATTTTGTTATAGAAGTCAGAACAATCTAAGACAACTATTCTGCTCAAGAACTTCTAGTGGCTACTGTTATGTCTACCTTGCAGGTGCTAGAGCCCACCTCAGTCTGAGCTACCCTGAACTTTATTTTTTGTGATTTCCCACGTGTTCCTTGCCCATACAGTTACCTGGCCTCCTTGGTATATTCAGTAGAGATAGGATGGGCTGGGGAGGCAGTTCCAGGCAAAACTAAAAGAAATGGGAGAGGAGGCTGGAGGGTGAAGGACTCATGGGATTATCTTGAGGTACACCCTGGAGATTCTGAGCTGTTGTTTATTAATTAAGTGGGAAATTTTAGGTAGAGTCAAACTAAGATTTTGGAATGGTCACCTAGGGCTAAGTAGAGGAGGGAACAGTGAGACAGTCTAGAAGGATATGTGTGGGGGTGAGGAGATCTCTGTCCACCTTGGAGACCTTGTTAGATAATGTCTACACAACAGTCCCTCTGAACAGTCTCTCTTCCATGTGGAACAGGGGCAGGAGAGACAGTCTCCAGCCATCCCTCCCAGGGGTGAGTTCTCTGATTTCATCTTTGCAGTTTCTCTGCTTTCCACTAGTCCCCTTCTGGGCAGAGCCCTTTGAGAAAGGCCTTGTGAGAGGTGCCTGAGAGGACAGAGAGTCAGGAAGGTCAGGCCACAGGCTCCACTTCCTCCTTTCAGGCAGGAAAGGCAGACACAGTTCATCTAGCAGAGAAGGCCAAAGGAGGGGAGTGAGGAGCAGGATTGCAGGCCTTGGAAAGGCTCCCTTTGATCTCTAGAGGGTAAGCTTTCTTTTTTGCCTGTTTTCAGCATTTCCTGGAACCCCCAAAATAAACACAGACCAGCCTACATTTTCACAGCTGTACTTGGCTACATCCACTCATCCAGGCAAGTCAGCCCTGAGGATTGACGCTGCTGCCACCCAGGCCTTGTGACAGGACCAGGATCATCTGAGAGACAACAAGGACAAAATGGTTGACCACAAACATAACTCTTGTTGTCAGCTGCACAACTGGGGGCTTCTAAGTGCTATTTAGACACAGACAACAATAAAACAAAAGCCATATGACCCCTTCCCTGTAGAGGTGCATCCATAATTAGTAATAGGCCTATGAAAGTGAAGTTCCTGCCATGCCTGTGAGACCAGGACTTAATTTTGCCTGCTCTAGCTTAAGGATGCCTGAACCCATTGGTATGAAGGAAGGCACCAGGGGAGAAATGTAGGCTATGGCCCTTTGCCATGTTGAGCATTTGCAGCTAAAGGATGCTGGCAGGCATAAAAGAAATGCAAATCAAAACAACATTGAGATACCACCTCACACCAGATGCTGGAGGGCATGTGGACAGAAGGGAACCTTACTGTATAGTTGGTGGGAGTGTAAACTTGTTCAACCACTTTGGAAAGCAGTATGGAGGTTCCTCAAAAGACTCCACATAGAGTTCCCTATGACCCAGCAATCCCACTTTTGGGCATTTACCCAAAAGTAAATGATCACAAACAAAGCCACACTAAAGCTACGACTGTGTTTATTGCAGCATTATTTACCATAGCTAAGATATGGAACCAACCCAGATGCCCCTCAGTAGATGAATGGATCAAGAAAATGTGGCATATATACACAATGGAATTCTATGCCTCCATCAGAAAGAATGACATTGCCCCATTTGTTAGGAAATGGAAAGACTTGGAAAAAATTATAATAAGTGAAGTAAGCCAGGCCCAAAGAAACTTAGGTCCCATGGTTTCCCTTATTTGCAATAACTAGTATATGTCTGAGTCAAGCAAAAAGGTCAGATAAGTTGATGTTAGGGAAATGAACTCTAAGATATGTATTCAAATGTTTTTTTTTCTTTCAGGTGATTGTTTCTAACACATTTATAAGATTACTTCTTTGTTGCTTTGTATGTCCCTCCCCCATGGTATAACCCCTGCTTTCACTATATTTGAGGTTGGTATAATTTGTGGAGGAGAAGGGAAAAAAACAAATCATTTAAATAGGGATACAGGTGGACCCATTGCAACAATGAGATGTACAAGTCGTTATGTGAAAAATGAACTTTACAACTTTGGTAGGGGGGAGGAGGATTGGGGTGGGGGGGTGGGGGGAGGATGGGAAGGGATGGGAAGGGGAAACAAAGGAGGAGGCTACTATGCTTGATAAGAAATGTACTCATTATCTTGCCCATGTAATTATAACCCCTCTGTACAGTATTTTCACAATAAAAAAATAAATAAAAGGATATTGGCAGAAATCAGGAGCAGCTTCTCTCTTTTTCTTGCCCTCTAGTCTCTCATCTTCTTCCTCCTCACAATGGAGTCACAGAAACCAGAATTCATCTTCCCCAAGGCAGGTCAAGGAAACCAGAGCCCCTCTCCCCAAAGCAAGCCATAAATCCTCAAAATATTCCTCTAATTGCTCTTCCTGGGTACAAGTTGGTCATAAAGAAATTCTCTGACCTGCCTTATCTGATAATAGGCCATAAAACCCTCATTCCAGAGGGGTCTTACCCCACAGTGCAGAGGAAGGAATGCTGTACAGAGGGGCCAGGAAGAATGTGGACAGCTTTTCAGGTTTCTTCCCTTTAGCTGGTCACCATTACATCACACACTTCTGTACAATCACATGGATCTTTCCCTTCCCTCTTTCCTTTTCTACCCTGCTTCCCTTCCCTCTTTTTTCTTCTCCTTCCCTCCCCTCCTTTATCCTTTTTTTCTCCTTTCAAATATTGTCTTGCTGGGCTGGGAAGGTGGCTCAGTGGTAGAGTGCTTGCCTTGTATGTATGAGGCCCTGGGTTTGATTCCTCAGCACCACATAAGCAAAAAGAAAAAAAGCTGGAAGTGGTGCTGTGGCTCAATTGGTAGAGCACTAGCCTTTAGCTGAAGAGCGACAGTGCCCAGGCCCAGAGTTCAGGCCCTACAACCAGACTCCCCCCCCCCAAAAAAAATATTGTCTTGCTATGCAGCCCAGGCTGGCTGTGAACTGAAAATCCTATTTCTGCCTCCACAGTACTGCATTACAAGCTCAGTACATCTATATTTCTGAAGGCTTCTATGTCATAAACTCTTTCAGTAAAATACATTTTTCTCTTGTTGTCATCTGCCTTAGGACTGTTAGCTTTATATGGGTGACTCTTGTGGAGGGAAGAAAGGTGTCACATCCTTCATTCCCCACATAGGGTAAGACGGGCTGGCTCTCAGCTATAGTGAGGAGCAAGGGATGACCAACAATTGTATCTGGTAGTAGTTTTGTTCATCCTGATTGTGGAAGAGTCAGGGAGAAAATTCTGAGCCTTGCAGAAGGAGATAGGCCTGAGTTTAGGAGTTATCAGTCCACAGAACTACAGGAGGCAGCCATGGCCACCTCTCACTTCTTCACAGGGAAGGTGTGGTGGAGAAAGTGTGTGGGTGTGTGCTGGGGTAACAACCAACCTCACTGATGACTGAGCCTCCCTGTAAGGAAGGTAAGAGCAGCAGCCTAACATTCGAAAGCATCATGCAGTTGCCCTGGCCATGTTGCTGTGTGGAGAGAGCGAGGATGGTTCCAGTCCAGCCTGCACTTAAACCTATTAAACTTTCTCTTTCCACCTCACTGGGATTCCTTTCACCCTTCAAACTTCCCTCCTCCCTACCCAGGCTGGCAGGGGACTTCGGGCCCAGAGGCCTCTCCACCAAGCCGTTGAGAGAGCAGTTATGTAACCAAGATTGTGACATTTCGGCCAGGCCCAGACTCTAAGCTGGGGGAGGCGGGGGTCGCCCATTATGGCCTCCCTTCTCCCCTTTCTGCCCTGATTAACACTACAAAGTTCTGGGCATGGAATTCTGGAGGTCACCTGAAAGGAGCAAGAGCCTCGGGGACGCTAGGTGGGGGGTGGGGGGTGGAGGGCGAGAGAAGAGTCGCGCCACGCGCGCGGGCCGGCCGAGGGGGCGTGAGCGGCGGCACCTGTTGCGGCGCGTGTGCGCATGCGCGTACGCGTGTGGCGGCAGCGGCCGAAGCTCACCCGTGCGAGCCCCTCAGGTGGGCGAGGGAACGCTGAGGGGCGGCGGGGCGCCGCTGTGCTGTGTGGAGCGTCCGGCCCGCGCCCAGCTTCCGCCGGGTCAGCTGACTGCTCGGAGCCGGACGAAACTGCGCTCCAGCAGCCGCGTGCCCCTTCCCGCCGCGCGCGCCCCGCCGCACATTCCCCACGCCCGCCGGGTTCTGGCCGCCATGGCTGGACTGGTGGTCTGTGGAACTCAAGTAAGTTCTTCTCAGCCGACCCGCCCCCGGCCCGGGGCACCGCCGCTGGGGTGGGGTGGGGGGACCGCGGGACACCCCCCTCTCTCCCTGAGCAGCCTGACCCAGCGTGGTGAGGACAGACCCACTCACTTCCTACGCCCCCTCCATCCTCTAACGTCTCACGCAGCAGCCCACCGGACCAACCTCCCTGTCAGCCTACTTTCCCCGGTCCCATAACTGTTTTGTTTTTGGGGGCTGGAACTCTGGGCCTGGGCCCCCTTCCCGGCTCTCCAGCCCAAGGCGTCCCTCCCCCCCCCCCCCCCAGCACTTGGAGCCACAGCGCCACTTCCGGCTTTCTTTTTTGGTGGTTTATTCGAGATGAGAGTCTCACTGACTTTCTTGCCTGGGCTGGCTTTGAACCTTGATCCTCAGACCTCAGCTCCTGAGTCAGCTAGGAATGACAGGCGTGAGCTGCTGTTACCCGGCTCCATAGCAATCCGAATTTACAAAGAAGGTTTGATCAGTGCAGATGTTTTACTCTGTAACAATCCACTCTTGGTAGAGGCAGTCTTCGTAGCAAGTCAGTTGTAAAACAGAAGTTGAAGTAAGTGGACGAAAGGGCACCCCCCGAAGAGGCCTAGTGTTGTAGGACCACCAAAATCACAAGGACCAGCCATGCATTTTAGGGGAAGAGGCTGGCTAGGTTCTGCCTACAAGGCAGGCTTCGAATCCAAGGTTGAAGGAAAGTCCGAGTTTGTCTGCTGATTTCTTTGGGCCTCTGATGGGGAGAATGAAAACTCCAGTTTCAACTCTAGATAAGAGACCCAGTCGTAAAGGCCTCAAGGGTTCCATTCAATGCGGAAGGGATTAACTCAGCCAGGTTGGGATCAGCTATCTTGTATCAACTAGGAAAAAGCCAGATCTCTTGCTAACTCTTTTCAACTTCTCACCTTCTTCCCACTTATTTTCTCTGCATACCAGGGAGAAAGAGTTCTCAATTTCCTTCACAATTCTCTGCTGCCTAAGGCAGGTAGGGCATAATTGGATCTTGAGATTACTTTGACTTAAATGATTTCTTGCTTAGAGGGCTAAGAGTTTGACACCTTGGAATGATGCAGTGAGGGCCAGTTAATGTCCCACCAAACTGGCTGCTGTTTTTTTTTTTTTTCCTGGAAGGAGTCTGTCATTCCCTCAGTTCCACATGTTTAGTTTATTGAGTGATTCCTCTTCAGGAGCCCAGGTATTATTGGAAATTACCTTTCCATTGTCCCTCTGCACCTCCCCCAACCCCCTCTCCTCTGGAGTTTGGTTGCCTAGGATATCCGGCTCTGTCCCTATACTTCAAGCCTTGAGTAGAAAGATGAAGGCCCAGAGTCCCAAGTAGGCCAGGAAGATACTAGCCTGTGGGAATGCTGAAAAAAAAATGATAGTCTTAATTCTACTGGCCAAGAAAATGGGCTTCTGGAAGTGAATTTGACTGCCTACAAGAACTGGGAGAGGGCTGGGAAGGTGGCTCAGTGGTAGAGCACTTGCCTTGCATGCCTGAGGCCCTGGGTTCGATTCCTCAGCACCACATAAGCAAAAAGAAAAAAGC